TGCAAATGTTTAAAACGAATGTGCGCCGCGCTAAAGGCGAGAGCCACAGTTTGAAAACGACCCGCCCTCAATCCGCGAAATTCCTGCACTTGTTGACAAACGAATGTGCCCCGCGCCAAGGCGAGAGCCACATCTTGAAAACCACCCGCCCCCAATACGTGGAACCCTTGCAGATAAAAAACGAACGTGCGCCGCGCTACGGCGACAGCCACATTTTGAAAACCACCCGCCCTCAACTCGTGAAGCTTCTGCAATGTTTAATACGAATGTGAGCCGCGCTAAGGCGAGAGCCACAGTTTGAAAACGACCCGCCCTCCATGTGTCAAATTGCTGCCAATTGTTAAGTTGCAGAGTCATCAATGGTGAGGAACCTCAGGGAGACGTTCTTGAAAAGGAATAAGAATGGACGAGGAGGCGGAGGAGGAGGAGGAAGAGACGGTGACGGAGACAGGGACGGAGACGGAGTAGAGTAGGAGGAGGAGGACGAGGACGAGGAGGACGAGGAGGACGAGGACGAGGAGGACGAGGAGGAGGAGGAGGAGGAGGAGGAGGAGGGGGAGGGACTTGGCTCAGGTGGTTCACCGCCGTGGCGGTGCTGCTGCCGCTGTCGCTCGCGCGCGACCTGTCGAAGCTGGCCTTCACGTCCATGCTCGGCCTGTGCGTGCCAGGGGGGGATGGCCAGCATGTGGGGGGGCGCCTCGGTCGTGGAGGCAGAGCCTCGTCGTCGCCCGCCGTCCTCCGCTTCCTTCTCCATCGCGTTCGCTCCTCTCTCCTTCTACCTCTCGAGGAAAAGACACGGCATACACATGAATGTGAATGTGTGGAGATCCGCGCGGATTTCGTGGATCGGCGCTCGGGCCCCCCTGGCGGCGCCTCCAGCGCCGCCCCTGGCGCGCTCCGCGCGCCAGGGAGGGGTGCAAGCGCCGATCCGAGAAGTCCGCGTGGCCCTACGAAAGTTTATGTTTTCGCAGCTCTACGTTATCCTACCCTCTGATCCCGTTTTCGCCCAGTCGGTTGTCCTCGTCCATCGTACACTTGAAGGGCCAGGCCAGGCCCTCGGCCGCCGGCCCCGCTTGGGAATTGATGTGGGATCGCCATTGGGCTCTGTTGGGCCATGTCGGAGGGTCTGGGGGCATCTTGAGGCATTTGGGGGCCACCTTCGGGGCGATCTCGGGCAGTATTCGGGCGCAGAGACCACTGGGTACATCCTTGGCCGACTTGGGCCTTGTTCGGCCATCTCGGGCGATGCTGATGGCGCCCCAGAGTCTCTGGAGGCTACTTGGCAACTCACGTTGCACCCAGCAACTGCGGATAAGAGTGAGGGGGCAGCGGGGTCGTAGGCAGTTTGCGAGGCTCTGACAAAGCCCGTCGCAGGGGCCGAAATTCTTAACACACTACACAAAGAGCTCGCCGCAGGCGCCGACTGTTTCTGTCAAAGCAGCGAGGGTTGGTCGCGGGTGGGTCGTGGTTGGGTCGCGGGGTGGGTCGCAGGTGGGCCGCGGTGTGCGTCGCGGGGTGTGTCGAGAGGGGGTATTGGGGGGGTCGCGGGCGAGGCGAGGACGACGATAACGACAGCGACAGCGACAGCGACAGCGACAACAACAACAACAACAACAACAACAACAGTAGCGACAGCAACAGCAACAGCAATAACAGTAACAACAACAACAACAACAACAACAACAACAGCAACAACAACAGCAACAGTACAACAACCGCAACAACAACCGCAACAACAACAGCAACAGCAACAGTATCACCAGCAGCAACAACAAACGCAACAACAGCAACAAACATCAGGTTAATATTGATCGCTCTTACTTGCCCGCGTGTCCTTCATTTTGTAAACTCCAACCCTCCATTCCCGCCCACTTCGTCTTCGATGACAACCCCCTTTGGGAAGGAATCTCTTCCTTGCCCTCCACTGACTGAAGTGCGACGAAATCCAGCGAGAGCGCGTGAGGCATCTCTATAGCCAGGGCATCTCGGAGTAAAACGTGAGGAAGCATCGAGCGGGAGCCCGTGTCATCGTGGCTAGGCCTCCAACTCGATTGAAGTACGATGTAGTTTCCAGCGAGAGCGCCGTTTCTGAGTTCGGGGGCCTCTCTGGCTAGGGCCTCTCGGATTAAATCGTGAGGAAGTATCGAACAGGAGCCCTTGCGTTCGTGGCTGGGCCTCTGCAAATTCGATTGAATTGCGAGGAAGTCTTGAGCGAGAGCGCCGTTCCTGAGTTCGGGGGGCTCTCTAGCCAGGGCCTCTCGAAGTACATCGTGAGGAAGTGTCGAGCAGGAGTTCTTGTCGTCGTGGCTGGGCCTCCGCCAACTTGATTGAATTGCGAGAAAAACTTGAGCGCGAGCGCCGTTCCAGAGTTCGGGAGCCTCTCTGGCCAGGGTGTCTCGGGGTAAATTGTGAGGAAATATCGAGCGGGAGCCGTTGTCGTCGTAGCCGGGCCTCCAAGGGCACACATTTACAATCAAGCCCGCACTCGGGCGGGATCTTCGTTTTCGAAGGAATTGCAGTTGGCGTCGAGGCGAGAGCGCGCGGAACCGTTTCCAGAGATCAACAATAAATATTATCTAGCTTGAATGACCAACATCAGCAACAGCAGCAGCAACAACAACAATGGCAGCAGCAACAGTAACCGTAACAGCAACAGCAACAACAGCAACAACAACAACAACAACAGTAGTTGAAGACTGTTTTTTCCTATCTGCTCGCGTGCCATTCAACACTTATATCCCAAACCCTCGATACCCGCCCCCTCGTCTTCGATCGTACCCCCTTGGGAGTATATCTTTCTCACCTGCAACGTGCATTTCGTGCAGCCCGCAAGGCAGGGGAATAGAGGACAGATGGACGGAAGGGAAAAGGGGGAGGGAAGAGGATGGAGCACGAGAGAGAGAGAGAGAAGAGGTCCGTGGAGCGATGTTGAACGGACCTGGGCCGGGCGGAAGCGCCGCCGTGGCCTCGGCGGGCTCTCCTCCGTGTCCAACGCCCTCCGCAGGTGCTCCTCTACGCGGTGCTCATGGTCATTCGCGACTCGGTCCTGCACTCGCCGCAGGAGCGCCGCGCCTCGGCCCGGCGCGAGGTCTCGGAGTCCAGGCTCGAGGAGCAAGAAGCGGCACGGGTGCGCGCATCTTTGGAGGCGCGCGCGGGTCTCAGGAGTTTCTGTGTGGCATGTTGCGTTGTTTCCCTAGTGCCAGGAGCACGTCAGAGAGCTCCACGAGGTCCCGGGCGGTAGCCAGGTTCACGGTCTACCGCCGGCTGCCAGTCTTCGAGCCCAGGTTCGAAGAACAAGAGGCGGCGCAGGCGAGAGCTTTAGGAGGTCCGCGCGGGTTTCTCTGGGTCCACGCTGGACCCCCTTCCCTGGCGCGCGGAGCGCGCCGGGGGCAGCGCCAGAGGCGCCGCCAAGGGGTCCCGCCGACGATCCAAGAAATCCGCGTGGACCTCCGAACGCCTGTGTTTATGCAGTATGTTCTTCTTCTACAGACGCTTCCTCCGTGGCCGCAGCCTCGGAGCGGTGTGCCTCGAGGCTTCTCATTCGTGCCTGCCTCCCTCTCCCACTTACCCGCCCCGCCTCGTCTCCTCTCTCCATTCCCCGCACCCTTTGTCTCCCACCTTCTCCTCACATGTGTAACCCTGCCCGATTCCCCTGAGTCATGTCGCCTTTGTACCCTGCCCGATTCCCATTAAGACCACCAAGCACAAAGAGCTAATTGCATCAATGAAGACACCTGATGGCACTGAGGAGACACACAGGCAAAGCATAGCAGACGTATTCGCAACCTTCTACGAGGAGCTATACAAGAATCTGTACCGTTCAGACAGCTTCCGCGACACCCCAACGACAACTCAGCACGACTCAACCATCCCACCTTTCACCGCAACCGAACTCCAGCAAACAATCAAACAACTCAAGAACGACAAGTGCAAAGACACCGCGGGGCTCACAGCAGAAATGCTCAAAGCTGGGGGCGCTACCATACAATACCACCTACTCCGACTCTACAACGACATCATCACACCTAATCAGACAGCACCGGACCAGTGGAAGACCACCACAATCACCGTATTTTACAAATCAGGAGACCCACAATTCCCAGGCAATTACAGACCGATTGCCATTATCCCATTGCTCTACAGATTGATGTCTCGCCTCCTTTGCAACCGTCTGAACTCTCTGTTCGACTCGCAACAGTGCCTTGACCAAGCAGGTTTCCGGAAGGATTATTGCACGCAGTTCACCAATGCCATGCTAGATGAGGGTTCCTACGAGTGGCAGCTACCGCTGTGGGCAGCAGCAATCGACTTTAAGTAGGCGTTCGACTGTGTAGACCACGAGCAATGACGGGAAGCTTTGCGACAAAAGCACATACCTCCTGCATACATAAACTTCTTCAAACAGTTGTACTGCACCCAGACGGCAACAGTCGGGACAGACACCACCAGCAGGGCTTTCAGTATCGAGCGTGGCGTGAAACAGGGAGACCCACTGAGCTCTTTCTTGTTCAATGCTGTCCTCGAGCAGGTGTTCAGACAAGTGAAACCTGAGTGGCAGCGCGTGAACTTCGGGATCCAACTAGGCTTCGCACCGCTAGCACGAATCAGAAATCTACGTTTCGCCGACGATGTCTTGCTCTACGCCCCCAACTTACGACAACTTTCCTGCTCGCTCCGAGACGTACAGTCCCAGGCCAAGGCATGCGGTGCGGCACTGCACCCGGACAGGACCAAGATCCTGACGAACGTCCGCCGGAGAGAGGGGAGAATAATTTCTCATGTCGGCATCAACGGCGAACGCATCGAAATATTGTGTTCCGTCCAAGCATGAAGCTACGCAGCAGGATTGCCGCAGGATGGGGTCGCTTCAACCAATTAAGATACGAGCTGACACACAAGCGCTTCCCACCCCAAAGTCGACTGAGGCTGTTCAACGGAACAATCACAGCATCAGTGATGTACGAGTGCTCCTCTTGGACCCTCACCAGCGACATGCTTCTCACTTTACGGCGTGCACACGGGAGGATGCTCAGGCTTGCCATCGGGATCGCAAGGCGTCGCACAAAACCACATTCGCGGCACTGACACCAACGAAGCGACCAGCGCCGACGCAGCAGACTCCCCCATCCACCACGACAGAGCCGACGACAGAAGAAGACGACGGGTTGGAACCATGGGAAGAATTCATACGACGATCGACGCACGCAGCCCTAGAGCATGTTCGGCGCGCAGGCGTAGAGGACTGGCCTACGGTATACTTCACACGGAAGTGGCGGCGGGCATCCCGCGTCGCAACCCACGACTACGACAGATGGACGCGGCTCTCACTTCAATGGGCCCCGAACACCCACGACCCACGCCAAAGCCTGCGACGCCACGGAGGACAACGGAAAAGAGTTGATGCCGAAATCACAAAAGTCGTACGCACAGTCACTACACACGAGGGAGACGACGACCACAAAAGGTGGATACACATTGCGACGGACAAGAAAGCATGGTCGGCATTGGAGCCGAAATTTTCGGCCTATGTCAATCGTGGGAATTGTGTGCAAAGTTCCCACTTCACGGTCTGAGTCCTTCCTCCCCCCTTCCCCCTCGACTAAGGTTCTTTCTCGGCGCTCCGGCGCCACCGCCGGGCTCTCGTAGGGCCGTCCCCGCCGGGACGACTGACCGGCGCCTCGCCTCGCCTCGCCTCGCCGATTTCCCTTCTCCTTCATGTCTGAACCTCTCCTCATCCTCATCTCCTCCCCCTCCATCTCCAGTCCTGTCTACCCATTCCCCTGGCTTCATGCGCTCGTGCCGCGAGACGCATCGTTGCCCGATGTCTTGCTCTCTTGTTCTTTTGGGTGTCTTGGGTTGCTCGTATTTTGCGTTTCCTCATCACCGCCTGCATTCGCTGCCAGGAGTGGGGCCCCGACGTGGTCATGTTCGAGTGGCGCATGGGTGCGTTTGAGGAGCCCCGGGTGGAGCTGTGACGAGGGGGCTGAAGGAGCATCAGCGAGCGTTCGGGCTCGCCTCGCATTCCTCCTTTTCTCGGACCTCGTGCGAGGGCTGCGTAGAGGGCATAGTGCCATAAGACGCCCACGGGGTACCACTCCTTAGGGGCCGTCTCCGGGCTTGAGCGCCCTCCCGCATACAGGGCCTTCTCTCTGAGTGGGAAGTCGCTTTTGCAATCGAAGTACTATTTTCAAAACAAAAAACTGCATACACATGAACCTTCGCAGGTCCGCGCATATTTCTTGGATCCGCGGTGGGTCCCCGTGGCGGCGCCTCCGGCGCCTCCCCTGGGGCGTTCCGCGCGCCAGTGTGGGGTGTCCAACCTGCTTTTCGTTCGGAGGCCGTCTTGTGGCTCTCTTGGGTCCCTCGTGGCCCGTCTGGGAGATCTCTCGGGGCCGTCGTGAGGCCGTCTTGCGCCGTCCAGGGATCAGATTAGGCCGTCTTGGGCCACCTTGAGGTTCTCTTGGGTTCGTCCTGGGCCTTCAGGGGTCTCTCGGGCAGCCTTGAGTCCGTCTCGGAGGCCTCTTGGGCTATCTTGAAGCCGTCTTGGGTCGTGGTAATGCCAGCTTGGAGGCCTCTTGGGCCATCTTGAGCCGGCGGCACCTTCGGGAAATCAGAGATTTTGGCATCTCCAGGCCTTGCTGCGAATTCTCTTGGAGCCGTCTTGAAAGCCTCTCTGGGCAGTCATGAAGCCATCTGGGGCTGTCTTGGGGCCATCTCGGGTCGTCTTGGAGACGCATCTTGGAGGCCATCTTGGGCAATCTTGGCTTTCTTGGACGCGACACGGGGAACCACCCAGGCATTTTCGGCAACCTTTCGGGTGGCCGGCGGGACGGGCCGAAACCCCATGGGGAGTTATTTTAGAAAAAGAACCAAAACCAAGACCAAAAGGGTCTAGCACGCCAGGCACCCCGGCGATGAATCGACAGGGGGCGGCGGATCGAAGACGCCTACGGCGAATCACCGCCGCCCCCTGCCTTTTTGGAAGCGCCTATGTGGCCGCTATGCGCGTGCATCGATTGCCCTGCCGCCGCAATGTCTCAAGGCGTCGCCGCTCGATTTGTTCGACACCTGCATGGTATCCTATGTGAGGCGGTGCAGGAGGAGAAAAGCCGCTTCCCCTTTCCATACCGCCACCGACATCGCAACCCACCCCGCTTTCACTTGGTAGCGGAGCTGTTTCACCTGCGGCAGCTCTGCTCGCATTCGCCCTCTACCCGCCAGTCTTCCAAGACCGCCAGAACATTGGTCGTTCGCGTCTACGTGCTGGAGGCGATTCGTACAACGCCAGTGTGACGAGCTACGCGGGCGCCTTTTACGGCGTCCACATCCCTATCACCAAGTATTACGCTACCATTGTGACTCCGTCTACGCCGATCAGGGTCCTACGCGCGCGAGGAACCTCGACCGCGTCACCAATTGCCGCCCCTTCTACTCCGACTCCTACCAGCTCGAGATGAACATCTTCAACATCAAGGCATGCACGCGCGCGAGGAACCTCGT